TGATTAAATGATTAACTTATTGAACATATTGTTGGTCTTCTGTGCTTTGTTTGGATATAGAGAGTAGAGCAAAAAGATATGTTACCTGCAATGAATCATACAAAATGTACATTTAAAAACTCATCGGTTGATTGAAGTAGGAGATATACTCTCAAAGGGCCAATGATAAAAAAATTTTTGTTCAAAATCTACATAAATCTTTGAAATTGAAAGTATCTCACAAAAAGATAAATGGCACTGGTCTAGCAATACAATGATATTTTCCCATAGAGTTCAATTTTTTAGTGTGTTATAATATACTCACATCATACATTGATATAGGACTTCAGAGTTTTCTGAAGTTCAATACCTCACCTTTTTCTAATTCTTATTATCATACTGGGAGATACATGGGATAGTTATTACCATTCTTGACTTCCATTGAAGCACTTAGAATTTGAGGGACCTGGCAAACCAGAATCTGAATTTAGATGATTAATATATTGAATAATATGCTCATTAAAAAGATGGGCAGAGTGATAGGTGAAAATATTTGGACAAAGATCTGTAAGATGAATTTGAATTTGAGCAACAGTTTGAGCCCATTGCTGTAGTCAATCTGCCTAGTTCATCTTTTCACTCAGAGTAGTAGTTTTTAAAGTTAGCAGAAATAGTGTACTATAGTCTCAGATCTAATAGATATTTACTTGCCTGGGCACATGAAGGTACCTTTGAGGAGAAAGGATGGAGTTTCTTAACAAAAGTACTTCTTGCCAAAAATCATAATATTCATGTGCAATTGGGTGATTAAAAGTTCTCGCTATGCAGTATACCCAAAAAAGAGAATGCCTTGTTTATATACTGTTCTGGTAAGTATTGGCCATTGTCAAGTTGAGATATTCTGTGCTCTAAACTAGCATAATGATATTACTGCAATTAGTTTTTTAAAATTTCAGTATTTTTTCAATTAAAATTTTTCTCTCTGTAATGCATCAGTGATTTCTTATTGTTCACTGATGTGTTACCAATGCCCAGAAGAGTGAACTTAGGCACTGAAGGAATATTTATTGAAATGAAATTGCTTGTGTGAGTGCTACAAATTGACCAAATGAAGAAGTAGTAAATGAATATTGCCAGGAAAAAACTCAGAAATGGCTTTAGTTTTTCTCATTGTGCATTTGTTGGAGGGCTTACATTTTTTGAGTTTATTGGTTTAATAGTTAAATGTTCTGATAGTAACCTATTCCAATTGTTAAGACAGCGTTAGATAAATCACTGTTTTACCATGTATCCACCAAACCCATGGACTCTAGGTATTTCACAGCTTGAACAAGTTAGTAAACTCTGCCGGAAGGAGGAAAGGGATGAAAGAAGTGAAGGAAGATGAGTGGATGACCATACCAGTGGCTCTGAGAGGTGGCTTACATATATCATCTCTCTCATGCCCTGGCCGAATAGCTCATTTGGTAGAGCGCCATCCTGATACACCAGAGCTGTGGGTTTGATCCCCGGTCAGGGCACATACAAGAATCAACCAATGAAGGTATAAATAAGTGGAACAACAAATTGATGTTTCCATCCCTCCCCACCTTTCTCTCTCTCTCTCTAAAAAAAGGAAAAAAAAGGCAACAACAACAAAAAATCCTGTGTAGCTTTATCCCCCTTTAGAGACAGGAAGTAGAGTCCCAAAGGGTCAGACAGGCTGCCCCACAATCCCACAACCCTACCACCTGGACATTAGCGGGTAGTGCTAGCACTGAGGTTGATGCTACTGCTGTTGCCGCTTCCCAGAGCTGCTTGCTCTGGGCCCAGATTCTTGCCTGGAAACGGGATTACCAGTCATCTTTGTTCTAGGACCTCTCTTAGAATAACGAGGGGGCATCTAACAAAGGAAATACTAGTTGAGGATGAGTGAGCCCACACTTTTCAAATAAACTGTAGTGTATTCAAATATATGTATATAACTCACTGAATTCAGATCAGTATTCTGTCCTCACTATTGAACCTAATCTGTCCTTGTTAAAGTTACCAGTGACCTCCATGTTGCTAAATCCAGTGGTAATTTTCAGCTGTTTTCCTACTTAATCTATCATAGCACTTGATGCAATTTTTCACCTTCCTTCTTGAGATACATTTTTTCACTTGGCTTCCGAGACACCACACTTTCTGTTATCTTCTCCTATTCCCTTGGTCACACTTTCTCAGTCTCCTTTACTGATCTCTCCTCAGTCTTCTGAGGGTTGCCCCAAGATTCAGGTCTGAGACCTCTTCTCTTCTCTGACAACACTCATTCACCATCTAGTTGCCTAACTTTAAATACCTATTGTATGCTGATCACTCCCAACTTTCTATCTCCAGGAAAGACCAGTTTTCTCACTGTATTCTCATATATCCAATTACCTAATTGACTTTGCCTCTAAACTGTCCAATGGGCATCTCACATTTGACATATTTAAAATTAAGCTCCAGGTCATCTACCTAAAACCTACCCCTCTTGTAATCTTCCATATCTTAATAAATGGCAAGTCCATCTTCACAATTGTTCAAGCCAAAAACCTTGGCATGATGCTTGATGTCTCTCGTTCTCTTACCTTACCTATTTCCATTGCATCAGTAAATCCAGTCAGCTCTTCTTCCAGAATATCTCCAGAATCTGCTTACCTCTCACTACCCTCACTGTTATCACTCTAGTCTAAACCACCAGAATCTAGTCTTCTGTAATAGGAGACTCCTACCTGGTCTCTTTTTTCTGCCCATGATATCCTATAGCCTATTCACACAGCAGCAAGTGATTGTTCCAAAATATGGCATATTATCATTCCTTTGCTCACCATTCAGTGGCTTGATTGTCATCTTAGAATAAAACTCAAAGCCTTCACCATACACTACAAGGCCCTATAGAATTTGTTCCCCAACGTCTCCACTAGTGAACTCCCTGTTCTCTCCTACTGTCTCCCTTGTTACCCATCTCCAGACACAGGGGGCTCTTTGCTGTTTTTTTCAAACCCCAGAATGTTTCCTCCTCAAGGTCTCTACCACAGGTTCCACCAGTATCTGTAAGGCTCACAACCTCATCTCCGTCAGGGATTTGCTTACGGACTCCTTTGAGTTCCTCCCTGCCCACCTATTTAAATCACAGGTCCTCTTCAAAAGCATTTCCTGATCCTCTGCTGCCAAGGATTTTGCTCCCTCCACAGCCCATTTCACCACCTGATGTGCTGTTCATTTTACTCATTTATCTTTATGTATCATCCATTTCCCCACTAGAATTACCCTCCAGGGAGACAGGGATTATTACTTATTTCTCTGCCACCCAGGACAATTCCTGGAATAGTAGGCACTTAGTAGATACTTGTGCAATACATGGAATAGCTGACTTGAGCATAAATACCTAAATCTTATGTAAGAATTTATAAATCTAATTAATGAGCTTCAACTGTTGGTTTCAACCCCTGCTCGCCCCCCCGCCCCTGCCAATCTCAGGAGTGACTGACAAAAATGCCACATATCATCCTGGATCATCCTGGATCATCCTTGATCATCCTGGATGTGTTAAAGTGCTGACCTTTGCCCTCCCCTCCTCTGGGTATCCTGCTCTGGAGTTCACACGAGGCATCGGTGTTGTGTTCATGCAGGGAATTCTTAACTCTCTGCAGGCAAGTGCTTAGACTTTACACTTTAAGTACTGTGCCGTTCTCAACTGTATTTTCATAGCTCTGGGTTGTTCCTTTGACATACTAGAAACCAAGGAAGTAAAGCTGTCCTCTTGTACTGCATTAAAAGCTTATCCCAGCTGCTAGGGGCACAAAGATTTCTCTAATCTTTTTTCTTGTTTAATTATTTTATGCCTGGCCAAGGTTTTTATATTCTACACTCATGTATTTATTCTAGTCAATATTTATTCTTTTGGTATAGTCCATATTATTTACTTCAGACTCATCCAGGATGGCCTACTTAATATCACTGTAGTTATTTTATGTACAGTTATATACAGTACAGTCGCTCGAAGAACCCCAGCCATTATGCACTGTTTCAGCAAGCAGGAGATTCTGTACCTGGTGGTTCTTGCTGATCTAGCTGAGAGACCAAATGACGCATTTCACTTTCAGGGCCTGGTGCTGGGTTTTGATATTCCCTGGTGCTATAAATAGAACTTCAGAACACTCAGGTACAGTGAATATTTTCTTTGCAGTCCAGTTCCATGTCTGCAGAAAGAAAGTCACATGCTGTCTGGTTCAGTTATAAGTCACTTGCTTCTCAGTGCCTCCTAAGTTCTAGACAGACCTACCCAGCATGTTTAGTTGCTCATAAACACAGCATTGGCTCTCAGCATACTTTTGTGCCTTTGTTTAGGCTGCTTTCTCTGCCTGGTCAAACTGCTCATCCTTTAAGATTCATCACAAGTAAAAAGGCTTTCCCTGAGCCGACTGGGCAGAAATGACTTCTTTCCCTTCTATAAGATTCTCCACAGTGTTTGGAGCAGACCTTTCCTACAGCGATTTCAGCATTACATTAGAGTCTGTTACATAAGTATGTCTGTTCACACTCTCCTCATGTCCCAGATTGTGAATCCTGAGGCCTGTGACTTCTGTATCCTTGTATCAATTCATAAGAGTTAGCATAAGAAATGCTCAGCAACATTTGTTGAGTGAATATAACCAATTGTATGAATAAATGAAATTGTATTTGAGTTTGTTCCCAGTTTAATGCCTTTAAAAATATTTCTATGTGTAGCTTGGGTTTTTCTTTTTTCCCTAGCAGACACTACTGTGTGCATGGCCAATTTGATACAGAAAAGTGTTTATTTAAATACACTTCAGAGAGTTAGTGTTTTGTTTTTTTTTTCCAAAGGAACAGGCTAGTTTGTTCCTTACAAACTTCTTGCATCTTTCTTTCTACATGTTCTCTTCACTCTGCCCAGCCTTCAGTCAAATTCCTCCAAAGGGTCTGCTGTAAACAATGATGTTGTGAGCAGTTGTATGTTCTCTGCAGTGAAAACCCGCCTTGTTTTCTGTTGCTAGGCAACCCCATTCCAGCTGCCCTTGAAGAAATGTGCGGTGGTGGGAAATGGTGGGATTCTGAAGAAGAGTGGCTGTGGCCGTCAAATAGATGAAGCAAATTTTGTCATGCGGTAAGAGAGAGCACCCACAGCGTGGCCTCTGACTTTCCTCCTTCTCCCCACCCCTCCCGCAAGCCCTGGGGCCTTTCGAAACTAGTCACTTGGGATTAATCAGTTGTAGCTGCTCTTTAGCTTCCCTTCAAGTTCCTATACACGTGAGTTCAGGAGAAGGGCCAGGGGAGTAAGAGAACCTGCCCCAAGGAAGTACCAAGCAGAGGAAGGTTCAGAAGTCTTGGGCAGACCCCTGAAGTGCAAACTCGCAGATTTTATTTTAGATTACCCAGCTGGGCAACTAAAACTTTAAACATTTTTCTGAAGACTGACTCTCTATAAATAAACACTTTAATTTATTCATTTCACTTTATACTGTTCTTTGTTCTTTTATAAAAGTATTTGTAAGTAGCAGGTAAGATTTGCAGAGGGATTTGCTCTGTGCCTGATGAGGAACTGGAAGCAGGAGAAGGAATACATTTTGAGCAAGGAGTAAGCTTGGAGTAAAGGACCGAGCAGAGTGGCGATGTGCGCATCACCTCCAGCAGGAAACAGGAGGCTTCTGCAGCAGCAAGGAAAAGGATTGCTAAAACACCTCCAGCCAAGGGTGGAGACCATCGCACTGTAGTGGCACCGACCTGTCCTGTTAGGTGATTTTGACAAGAAGTAAGGACAGCATGTGACTGAATTGACTCCTCAACTCAGACAAGTTGAGGGTTGTCTGAGTGAAAGGAAAGAAGGACAGAGAGTGACAGCATGTAGGGTCCTGGCTGGAGAGCGTGCGCAGTGACACACCTTGACGTCTGGCTGGCCAGGAAGTGGGCCCTGAAAGGCACGGAGAGAGGGAGGGAGGAACCACATGGGGCAAATGCTGGGGTCCTCTAGAGCCTTCTAGGGGTGTGTGGTGAGGATGAGAGAGATGTGGGATATAAGAGCTAAAGTCAAAGAATGGCTTGCTGGGGCATGTGATTGGGAGCTTACCTTCTCCGGGGATGCTCAGAGTGTTGTGGAAAATGAAGACATTTGTTAATGAAAATATTGAAGGAACTCAGAGGATGGAAACCTGAGCAAAAGAAGGAGGGGGATTTGGGTTTTGTGTTCACTTTTAAGAATAATAGTAAAAGTCCAAGTGGCAAAAAGTAGGTAAGAGAACACTAAACCACTTTTGAGCTCTGAGCTAAGCGGAGAAGGAGAAAGTAAAAACTCTGAGAGTATTTCAGGGGAAGCCATGTACAGGGGGGAGGACCAGATTTGCTCTCCGAAAGAAAGTTAGGTTTCTTTTCTTAAAAGATTTTATTTATATATTTTTAGAGAAAAAAGGAACTAGGGAAGAAAAAGAGGAAGAGAAACACTGATATGAGAGAGAAACATCAATCAGTTGCCTCTCACACATGCCCCAACTAAGGGCTGAACCTGCAACCCAAATATGTGCCCCGGCCTGGAAATCACACCCATGACCTTTGGCTTTGCAGGACAATGCCCAACCAACTGAACTATACCAATCAGGGCTTGGGCTTCCAGAGAATTTTTTTCTCACAGGTGAAGCCTGCAGCAGAACGGGGAGATCCTTTTATATCCGTCTTCCCTTCAAGGAGATGTCCTGCCATAGTTTTTCCTATGTAGGACAGCATTTTCTTCTCCGTTGCAATTATTTATTATTATTATTATTGTATAAATAAGAAAATAAGAGAAGATAAAAATATAGTTCTGTTCATTCAAGTCAATATAACTTCTGTTTATCGGGTGCCTACACTGTATTAGGCCTTAGCCAGACCTGGAAATGGCATGTTGAACAAGTCTGTCATGGGCTTCAAACCTGGAGGTGTGCTAGTGCTGAGATGGGGTAATTCAGAGACAGACAGACAGCTGCAGGAGCGGGGAGCATAGCTGGGACTTTCTGGGGAAAAGTGGTGTCTGGGATGAGCCAATCCACCCTTGGCAGAGGAATAGCCTTTTGCAAGGCTTTAGTGTCGGAAAGGCACCAAGGGCCAGCAGCACAGAGTCATAAGAGTGGTTTGGGGGGGCGGGGCGGGCAGAGACGTATTCCAGCCACAGAGGTGGAAACAGTGGCCTGAAGAGGACAGACAGGAGAACAGAGACCCTGGGGCAAATTCCGGTACTCACTTCAGTACGTTGGCATTAGGCAGAGGCTGAGAAACCAGCAAAGAAAGGGAGGTAGGAGGGCAGGCCCTCACCACAAACCAGCTCTATAACCCACAGTAAGTCACTTTACCTTTCCTGGGGCTCAGCTTTCTAATGTACTTCAGGAGGTGGGAGCAGGCAATTCCTCAGGCCTTCCCACTGTAGAAACTCCGATTCTATCTGTGATTGTATGAATACTATGTCATTGTAACACAGTTAATGTAGCCTAGTTTAAACTTTGAAATTGCTCTTGATTATAAATTCATTTTTTCTTTCCAAAAGCAATGTAAGGAAGAAGGAATGGATAATATTATGCTCACAGATTTAGGGAAGTTAAATGACTTTAAGAGGTCTTAAAGAAATGCAGAAGGAAGCAGTACAATAAATGTCTTTTTATATTGTGTTGGCCAAAATATTTGTTTGCTATTTTTCTGTAAGATGGGCCTAGCAGTGCTTAGTTGTTTTTAACTTCATTCAAAATAATTTTGTTAGATTGTATTGTGACAGCTGTCATATCAGCATGTATGTAAAAAAAGAAAAACATCAAGTTCGGTGAATTTTTGTGTAGCCATTTTAATAGTGAAAATAGAAAATATGTAACATTTATGGTATATTATGCTTTATTATTTCAAGAAAGGTAAAAATGCAATGGAAATGCAAAAGAATTGTTCAGTATATTGAGAACGTGCTGTGACTAAATGAATGTGTCAAAAGTGGTTTGCGAAGTTTTGTGCTGGAGATTTCTCACTGGACGATACTCCATGGTCGGGTAGACCAGTTGAAGTTGAGAGTGATGAGATAGAGACCTTGAAAACAATCAACATTATACCAGATGGGAGGCAGCTGACATACTCAAAATATTACAATCAATAAAATTATTAGTAAAAATGAAACATGTCTTTTATTTTAAGAAAAAATCATGTGGCCTTTTTGGCCAACCCAATATTATTCCTGAGTGTGTATGTGGGTGCCACTACATTTAGGAAGATGGATATTTTAAAGTTGAAGATAGATATTTCTAGTTGAAGACTAGACCTAAGTGTCTTAGGGGGTTATCTTATGAGGCTGTATTTATTACAAATAAACCAGACTGAGTTTGAGTTGTATACAATCTGGCATTGATATATTCAAGTTCAGAATTGGTGAGATCCTGTGATTAGAGTCCCCAGCACAGTAGTAAGCGTAATGGTAACAAACAGATGAGGGCAGTGAGGATTGAAAAGGATTCGAAGAAGATAGCATCATAACTAGCGCCACGTGTCGATGTGCCTTTAATTTAATTTCAAGGATAATGCTATTTTCATAACATATTTGAATTTTTTAAAACCCTCATTTATGGCCTACAGTATGGAAGTAATTAAATTTGATAAGTTGTTTAAAATTATTGGACCATTTATCGATCTATTTATAAATGGCTGCTTACTACACATTTTGGGGTACCTTTAGAAAATTAAAATGGTTCAAGATTCAACATTTAGGGAGTAAATGTAACTAGAAACACATAGTATGTCTAGTTCTAGACTGTAGGATCTAGGGACAGGTGCAGTCACAGCCATAGCCTCGTCTCTGCACAGGGATATACCAAAGTGGAGTTCAGAATGTCTCTCGGGACTAGAGTATAACAATGCCATAATTTTCTTTGCTTATACATTTCCAAATACACTGCTAATGCTAAAAAATCAATTTGCCATTTTTTGAAGTAAACATTTGCTCTATAACCAAAAACAAAACTTTAAAAATAATATTGTAGAGTAAAATTTATCTGGAAGGTCTGTAAGACAGAGATACGAGTGACAGCATCTTAGGAATTGGGAGGCTCAGGAACACAAATGAGAGCAACATAATTTTGGTGCCTTTGAATTATGCTCAGGTGTGTTTTGTATACTTAAAGTATACATAAGACTTAAAAAGTAATTTTATGCTTTTTTTTCTATTTAAAGATTCCTCTCCATCATGCTTATTCTCCACCCACCTCCATATCCCAATTCAAAGAATATTTCATTTTTCATCATTTCTGTGATTATATCTTTTAGGATTATGAGCACAGTTACTAAGATACTGTAGCCATTGATATCTGTTAATTGTGCTTACAAGTGATAATACAAAATTTGAAACATTATCATATAGTTTTGCCTTATTAGAAACAATCTGACTGTATTAAATATACCTTTATGTAAATCTATGTAATTATCAATTTAAAAGTTGAGGAGCTAAAATAATAGTGTGCTTTTTCTAAGAAAGGAGCTACAGGGGTGTGTTATAGACATTTTCACTTGAAGAGAAAGTTTACCCAAGGAATTTAAAGCAGATACACCAAACTATAATTTCATTATTTTACAGAAAAGCATTTCTAAAATACTGTCTTTATTGTTTTAAACATTTTCCTCTGTAGTAGGATTTGGCAGTCAGTATTTGCAAGTTTTTCTTGAGTTTTTTCTCTGGTAGGAGGTATGAGGGAGCCTAGACATATGAGCCATTGTTCTGCCTACAGGGAACACACAGAAAAACAAAGTGCTTTCTTCATTTAATAGTGACAAAACAGGTAGACAGCACTTAGCAATATTCAGAATTTATAATTGTAATATAAACTTATGAATTCTCAAATGTCATGAAGGACCACCAAGGTCAAAGCTTCTTCAAGAGGCAAATCTCCAAATTTTAGCCTGTGTTTTACCCTAGAAGTTATCTTCATGTTTGCAAAAGATCAATTAAGTCACAAGACCACAGTCAGCACCACTGCCGGATGAGCCTGGTTGTTAATGCATAAGTTCACTCCCTCCTAAGGGTCCTCAGAAACCACATGGGATGTGGTGTGACCACTGGGCAAAAGACGCCTCAAGAGTAGGCTCTGTGACTTGGCTTCCCCTGGCCTCCCCACAATGCGAATTGTGTTTGTTCTCAGTGGACACTCGGCAAAGTTCACTGACTAGCTGACTATCTGTGGGTAGCTGCCAGAAGAACCAGTATCACGTTACCAAAGAACGGGTGAAAGGAAGTTTCCAAATCAACTGAGAAGAGGTTTCCACCTAGGATGCCCTGAGGGGGTGGAGGTCACAGGGTGAATAAGAAACAACATCTGGGAACTTGAGCTGATCAGCTGAGTGGGTGCCCAGACAATTGCATGTTCTGGGGAAAATCTGTAGGAAAGGTGTATCAGTTGGGGAACTGCAGAGACATTAATATTTGTAAGATCTCTTTACCTACAAATAAATATGCTTTAGTGTGTGGAAGTAATAAGAAGTTACCAATGCGCCCTGATTTGGTAGGAGCCAGGTTAGATATATGGGTGGAGAGGAGAAATTAGGACCCAGAAATAAAATACAAACTAATGGAAACTGTAGATTCATTTGGGGTTGTCATAAATAATAGATTTATGTAAAATTACACTTATATGCCACTTCTGGTATGTGGCATTCTTAAGCTTTTACTCTGTGTGAGACACCAAGGTAGGGACTATTTATACATTTCTTCCTTTAATCTTTACAACCTTCTTAGAAAGGCAAAGTCACTATCCTCATTTTGCATAATAGGCAAACTGAGGCCAGACAGATAAATTAACTTGCCTAATTCCCCACTGGCAGACAAGCCATGGGATTTGGATTTGCAGTTGCCATTTCTTCCATTGTAAACATTCATAACACATTGTGGCCAAGGAAAGCAAACCAGGGTGGAGTGGGAGGTGTGTGTGTGCGCGCATGTGCGCTATTTCTGTCCCCAGGGAAACATTACCTATATACTTTCCTTTGGCAGAACTGAGATGGTGGAGAATCATTACATTTTTCTAGATGACATATCATTATGACTTCATCAGTAATCAACCCATACATTAGTCATGTACACAAAAGAAGGGCATACTTTGATTTCGTACTTTATAATAGTACATTCAAGGCAGAGTTTGTTCTGAATGTACTATTATAATTTAGAATTTGGGAAAGGGAGGAAAAACACAAACAAATACAATTCTCCTCTGTCTCTTGAGGTTTATAGGTATGCAGAGAACAGTGTAGGACCTGTGTCCCCTAGTGTACCACACCCTCCTGGGCTCTAATTTCAAGTCTAATACTTCCTGTCCTCCCACCTCAAAAATATTTTGAATGGAGTAAATTCATTCTAAATACACCTCTTTCCTTTCATAGATCATTTACCTCTCTGGCTGATGTTTTCTTTCATTTGTGAATCGAGCTAGCCTTAGAAAAATTCCTGTTTGTTATGATAACTGATGATTTGAAAGTAGGAAAATCATTCCCAAATGCTTGTTCTTGTTTCTCTAGATGCAATCTTCCTCCCTTGTCAAGTGAATACACTAAAGATGTTGGATCCAAAAGTCATCTAGTGACAGCTAACCCCAGCATAATTCGGCAAAGGTAAGCGTTTATGACTTCTGTTGGTGAGGAGCTAAAGAGGAAGCTTTATGAAGTCTTTAGCATCATAAAGGCAGTGAGCATAACTCATTTTAGGAAGCAAAGAAGAACGCCATCTGGACAGGCGGGAAGGATGAAGGGAATTGTAAATAACCTAGGCAGCACTATGGAAATCCAAACACTATTTCACACTTCGGCTGGGATTCTGTTTCTTGCCTTCAGAGATGGTAGAAATAACATGAGGATCCATTGTTTTGCTTGAAGAAGCAACACGATATCCTGCTGACTCGTTACTACTGCTTTCCAATTTGTTGGCTTCAGTCCCAATTCATTGATCAGCAGTGATTGTTGAACTGAATTAATATCAGATTTACTAAGAACAAAAACAAGGAAATGGCTAATCTACTGCATATGCATGCATGAAAATAATAATATTGTCAAATGTAGACGAATCTGTGGTGATATTATATTACATTATATCTGATCAGATTTGGGAAAGCAGATGGAAAATTCTTGCTCTAGTATTGACTTCAGAAATGTTGGCAGCTGCTGTAGGAGCTTCTGTGGGACAGCCTCTAGCTGATGAAACCCATCAATAACCTGTGGAGAATGAGTCAGTCTCCTTGCAAAGACGATTCAGACATGGCCTTTAGACTCTTGTGTAGCTCGCAAGTAAGAGTGAAATACAGCCTTCCAAAATGTTCCATTTATATCCTCTTCAGTCATGGATAAGCCTGGCTGTTTCCTAATCCTGAAATCAACATTATGTATTATTAATCTTTTAAATTTTTGTTAGTTTGTTGGGTGAAAAATGGTACATTACTTACTTGCTTATGTATTTTTCCTGAATACAAGAAGGACTGAGTGGGTATTGGTTATTTGTGCTATGTGTGCTTTTGTGAATTGCATATTTATATTTCTTGTTCATTTTGTGCTTTAAAATATTTTTCTGTTGATTTATAGAAAATGCTTATATTATAGACATTGTCTTTGTTTGCTATATATATAACAAATATTTTCTTCTAGTCTATCAGACATCTTTTAACTTATGTCCTATCAAAATTTAACATTTTTTATGCAGTGAAATTTGTTAATCTTTTCCTTTACTACTTCTTTTTATTAAAAAGTATTTTTGGGGTCAATCTTTGTTATCCACATCCCCTTCAATGAGAAAATATTATACTATATTTATCTAGTACATTTATAGTTCCATCTTTCATATTTAATTTAGTCCATGTCTATGTATTTATTTTTATAATAATAATTTGATTGTCTTCAACAAAACACATGTTCATTATCAGAATGTAAAATGAAAGAGAAAAGTACAAAGGAGGTGAACAAAAATATCACCCCAAACCTAACCATTTAAAAATTATGGTAATTAATAATAGGTAAACTTTTTACAGATATTCCATATGTTCTCAGAATTTTGAAGCTATTGTTCCATTATCTTCTTAGATTCCAGTGTTACCAATCTGAAATCTAATATGAATCTATTTGTTTTTTGTGCAAGGGAAAGCTTTCCTCTCTCCACTGTTACCTTTTAAAACTTTCTTTTTTATCATTTAAATTCAGATAATTTACATATATATATCTCTTAGAATGAGTCTTTTTAAAATTAATGTTGCCTATCACATTAATGAGAGGTTCTTTAATGGTAGAAAGGAGGCTCCATTAATGGAAGACTTGAGGGTTTAGTGGTGAAGATTCTATATCTTAAAGCATGATGGCTTGGGTTTTACTCCCTGTTCATCCACTTATGAGCTGTGTGAGCTTGGCTAACTTACTTAACACTGTCTTCTTCAGTTTCCTCATCTGTAAAGCAGGATAATAACACTTTTATTATAGTTAATTACACTATATATGCATGTATATGTATGTATGTGCATATATGTGCATGTATGTATATATCGCTATATATTAAAAATATATAAAGTGCTGAGAATAGTGTCTGGTATACTGTAAGCACCACTTAAGTGCCAGCTATCATTAGCATTTTATTTTTTTCTCTGAACATTCTCTCTCTTATGTGTGCAACATGCTGCTGAGTCAGCTTCGATTCCTGGCAACCTTATGAATGGGTGATGTCCACGATGTCTTGTCCTCAGCAGTCTTGCTCGGCTCCAGTAGACTCATATTTGGTCTTCCTCTTTCCTGCTGCCTTCTATTTTTCCTAACATTGTTGTCCTTTCCTAAGAAACCTGCCTCCTCATGATGTGCCTGAAGTAGGATAGATTAGATAGTCTCTCTTATGTGTTCGGTTATTTCCTCTTACTCATTGTAGTTGCTCTTTCTTTCTGGTCTTCCTGTTATGTGGATATTAGAACATCTAGATCATTTATCCAAGGCTTCTAACTCTTCTTGTAGTTGTGTGTGTGTATGATGTATGTTTTGTGTTTCAAGAATAACTCTTCTTAGCTCACTAAATCATATTCCAGCTGTGTCCATTCTGCTATATAGAATACCATTTTTTAAAATCATGTTTTTATTTTCTGTAAGTCTAATTATTTTACTTTAAAGCAGCATATTTTTATGGACATGATGTCCTGTTAAATTTTATTAAGAATATTAATAGACTTAAAATTTTTGTGGTTTCGCTTATTTCTGTGTTCTAGATTATTTCCTTTTTTAAAAATTTAATGTTACATATATTATTTGACATTTTTAAAATTTGAATTTTAGTTTTCTATTCATTTTTGTATGATATCTGTTTGTCAGTGAATATAGGTATATTAATTAAAAAATAAACACTTAGCTTTTAAAATGTCACTGAAAACCAAAAATGCCATTCGAATTTATGAGTAAATAAATTAAATGAATAACCAAAGATTAGCTCGATGTTTAATTTTTAGGGTGGTTTGTTTTTGATGTACCTAATGTAAAATGAGAAGACAAAAACATCATTCTTTATAGTTAAATTATTGACTTGCACTCAATTCTTGTATGCATGCATTTATTTATTCACTTTTTATGGGAGTGTGATCAGGAAATTGGCAGAAAATCACAATGTTGATGGTGTCTCTTTAATTAAGTGGTTTGGGGTTCTGGGAGTCCTAAGAATGTGCAGTTTTTTAAATTTGAGGTGCATTTACCTCAGGTTTAAGAGATTGAACAAAAGGGTGAGAGAACTTACATGAATATTTTTTGATTATTTACATTTTTTACTGTTAAATAATTACAGATACACAAGAAGTTGCCCCCCAAAAAAAGTATAAGAAGATCCTATGTATTCTTCATCTAGTTTCACCCAATAAAAACATCTTGAAAAACCATAGTATGACACTTTAACTATTATTTTAATTTGGAAATAACTTTTAAGAAGTAAATGTTCGTGTGTAGGAAAATGAGACATTCAAGGACAAAAGATTTTTTTCCTACCTGAATATGAGGAGTTGGTGGTAAAATTTTAAAAGCAAGGTGAAAATAATATTTAGAGCAAGATTTAGAGCAAGATGAGATAGAGGTTGTAATTGTGTTTTTGAGAAAAATTACAGAAGCTACAGGAGAAAAAAGGAAAGAGTAAAAATGTAAATACTTAAGAGGAAAAGTAAACTTGTTGGTTAAGATTTAAGTGCTACATAAAGAATTAATGCAAGGTAAGTAAGAATCATTATGATTAATGTTGGTCAACATTTAGTCAACATTTCTATGTGCCAGGTATGTGCTAATTATATACAGTGCCACATTTAATCCTCAAAACAATCCTAATAGGTAGAATATTTTAATGTGTATTTACGGAAAAGGGAAATGTGATGTGGTAAGTTTAGTCACCTGCTCATACTCACAGCTGCTGGGAATCCCTCCGGGACTTCACCCAGACAAGCTCAATCCAAAGTCCATGCTCTTAGTCAGTGACCATACCACCAGGAGATCTTTCCAGGTGACTCATGTATTGTACAAGGAAACAATTGAGTTTTCACAAGTGATAAGTTATTTTGGAAAAAATGAATGAAATTTTTTTCTCTTAAAAATGTATTCAATGTAGCAAGGTTTTTAGATTCTTAATCAAAATGCACAGAGCCATCCTATTTTATGAAATAAGGAAATAATATACCATTTACAACAGAAGCAAGTAATATGATGTACTTAACAACTGAACAAAATGCAAGCCTTATAGAAAAATTACGGAATTTTATTGAGACATTTCAGACAACCTGACTAAATGTACTGCTGTGCCATGTCCATGACTGAAAGACTCAGGGTTGTTAAGGTATCAGTTCTTCCCAAATTGATCTATAGATTCATTGAAATTCCAGTAAAAACCCCAATAGTGATGTGTGTATATATAACTTGACAAGCTGATTCTAAACTTTATGTAGAAATGCAGAGCCAAGAATATCAAAGAAGATCTTTTGAATAAAAAAATGGTTGGAAGAGTTGCTCTACTATGTTATATAATACCTATATAGCGTTCCTGTAATTAAGGCAATGTGGTATAGGTGCATGGATAAACAAACAGACCAGTTAAACAGAATAGGGCCCCCCAATCAGATCCACGTACATAGAGACTCTGAATATATGACAGAGGTAACATTGTAAATCAATGAGAAAAGGGCAAACTTTTAAAAATGACATTGAGACAGTTAGGTGTCTATATGGGAAAAAGTGAAATTATACCTCTACCTCATACCTTATACCAAACATTGTTCCCAGATAGTTATGACCTAAATTTGAAAAGCAAATTAAGAAATCTTTTAGAAAATAACATAGGCCTCATGATTTGTTAAATAGCGCCAATTAAAAGGGAAAAGACTGATAAGTATGATTTATTAAAATTAAGAACTTTTATCTTAAAAAGACATGCTAGAAGTAGAGGAAATACAACCACATAGTAAAAAGAAGACCACTAACAAAGGACTTGTATTCAGAATATATGAATAACTTTCATATTTAACTTAGAAAGAAATTAATATGAAAAACAAATTCCAATAGGAAAAATAAGTCAGAATTGAACCAGACTTCAAAGCACAAGTCCAGATAGCCAGTAAATGGATGAATATATG